GCTGTTGATCTATTTGGGGGCTTAGCAGTTTGAGAACAGTGATCTATAGAGCAAAGCACTCAGTGCGTTAAGAAAAACTGATGGCTAGGAGACAGATGCCCAGAGCTGAATGGGGATAGGGTGGTCCCCATACTGTTGCTAGAACACCCCAAATGCTTAGCTCGCTCATCAGCATGGCTGTTTATCTACTTTCCCAAGTCAAAGGAAGAAATGTATCAGGCTTAAAAGGCCTGATGGGGACAGAAAAAAAGAGACAGAGTAATTTGTAAGAAGCAGTTTTGTGATATGTTTTTGTATTTTTGAAGAGGACTTCTTGGTCATACTATTAAAATAGCATACATATTTCAATATAACTTTCAAATAATATACATATTTCAAAATATATATACCAATTTTAAATAGGTAATCATTCACATAGCTTAAAAATAAAAACAATATAAAAGGATAGTCAGCAAAAACTTTCAACTTCATTCCCATCCTTTATTCCCACAAGGATAACCTTATTAGTTTCTTGTGTTACTGAAACAGAACTATACATTCTTATTTTCCTCCTTTACACTGTATACTGTATACATTATTAGACTCTTGCTATATGGTTTAAACACGATGTCTTGGGGAGGTCTCAATTTTATAAAGAAGTAATCTTTCCACATTGGTACATAGAGAATGTTTTATTAACTTTTACCTTATTTTATTTTACATTCATTACATGGATGTGCAACAGTTTGTTAAATCCAGACTCCTATAAATGGATGAACTATGAGAGTGGGCAGTTCAAGTTCACCCAGAGGTACCTTAGAAGAAAGGGCTAATGACCTATTTCTAAAAAATCAGCTGTTAGGGCACCTACTCTGACAAACATGGGATCTCCATGAGTCAGAATCAACTTAAGGCAACTGTTCTGTTGGCTTGCTTGTTTCAGTGGATATTGATCTAATTTTAATCTTTTGCTATCGTATCCAAAGCTGCAGTGTATAAGTTTATACATACATCATTTTGCACATTTGTGCAATTATATTTGGAAGATAAATTCCCAGAAGTGGGATTTTTCTATAAATTAAAAATTATTCATTTGTAGTTTGGGTGCAGATTAACAAATATACCTCCACAGGCACACAGTATAGTATCTGCTCCCATCAATAATGTATGGGAGCACCTATTTATCCACATCATTGCCAGCAGAGTGTATTCTCAAACTTTTGACAACCCAAGAGATGAAAAATATTATCTCAGTGGGATTTTCATTCCCATTTATCTAGTCATGATTGAGGTGGAGCATACTTGCTTACATTTAAATGTCTTTTTCTATTGATTCTCTGCTCATACCCTTTGCCCATTTTCGTTACTGTGTTGTTCTTTTTCTTATCAATTTAAATTAGGGAGATAGCTCATTATGATATGAATTGCAAATATTTTCCACAGTCTTTCATTTCTCTTTTGATTTTACTTGCAGGTTATCCTTTGTTTGTTATTTTGTTTTGTTTTTGTTAGGTAAGGAGTTTTTCTTTTTACTGCAGTTTTTATCACTATTCTAGGGCTTTGGATTTTCTTCTAAACTTTTATGGCTTAATTTTATTTTACTTTTTTGTCCAACCTTTTTTACTTAGTTTATCCTAGTGTACAGTGTAGTGTCTAAGGCACTTGACTGCTAATCAGGAGGCTGGCAGTTCAAACCCACCAGCCACTCCTTGGAAGGAAGATGGGGAAATCTACTTCTGTAGTGATACTGCTTTGGAAACCCAAAGAGGGGTCGCGATGGGTTGGGTCTGACTGGATGGCACATAACAACAACAACACAGTGTAAGAGGTTTTTGTTTGTTTGTTTTCCTAGAATGCTGCTTAGTTGTTCCAACACAATTTATGGAAAAGTTTATTTCCCCATATCTGATTTCAATTGTCATCTTCATCATACAACATATTTTTTAGGGTCTCTTTATGTATAGATGCTGCACTGTTTTAATAATTAAAGCTTACAGATATGTTTTACTATCCAGTACATCGAGTCCCCTTCAAAGAGTATACAATATAAATTCATCTGCTGTGAGTAGAAATAGAGCTGGTTGGTGATTATTTAAAGCCTATTTTGTGATATTTTTCCTGAATTGTGCAAATGATTAATTCACTTGGCTACAATTGAAAAGTTGGAGTTTCGGGTCTAACTAGAGTTATGTTGGAAGAAAAGCCTGGCAATTTACTTCTGAAATATCATCCACTGAAAACTCTATGGAGCATAGTTCAACTCTGACACATATAGGGTCACCAGGAGTCAGAGTCAATGAAATAGCAACAGTATTTATTATGTGATTTATTAGGTCCAAAGCCATATGGTCTCCAGCATATATTGCTTTCCTATTCTACTTCTACCTTCCACACCCCAGCCTCTGCCCCCTGCTCCATCAGAGACTCCAGGTTTCATAGCTAGGAGTGATTATTTGTGGGCACTGAGAATCTTTTTCTCTTCTTTCCCCTATGCCTTTTAGATATTTGTCTGATAATCAAATGCAGTGCTTTGAAAGGCTTTCCAGACATGGGGGCTTTCCAGCCCAGGCTGTTGGAACCAGTTTCTAAGAGTTATTCTGGGAACTGTCCTCCCAGAAAGTTTATTAGAGAGATGCATGCTTTCACGAATGCATCTGGGAAGTACAGGCATGGGAGTGGGGCGGGGGCACTAAAAGGTGCTTTTCAGGCTCCACAGTTTTTGCTGCTTGGCTATGAGCAAAGCCCTGAATTCCTTAGCAAAGCAGCCCCCTTTCCCCTCACTCCAGCGCTGTTGGATCAATCCTGATGGCAAAAAAATGAGCAAATCAAGGCCCTGAAGCTCCTCCCTTTTCTGAATAATGTTGTGTGTTTGATTAAACCAAAAGAATATATCAAAAATTCTTAGCTGAGACAGGCCACTGCAGAGTAATATGTAATAACTTTTCAGAACATCAGAACATTTTCTCTGCGGCTGACTCTGAAGAGAGCTAGGCCTGCCATGCACCCAGTTTTAGATCTTAGAAGCAGCAGGAAACAAACCTATGCAAACCCCTTTTATGTGGGCTGTCTCTGTCACACATGCATTTTAATCATGAACCCTTCCAGGTGTGGATCATGGGGCACCTCATTTTCATCTATCACCCATCCCCTTTTACTGCGATGTCAATGCAGGGCTGTCCATGCAGTGGGTATCTTGTGCAGATGTCCCTGCCTTTTGTAGGCGGGGCATCTGCAGATGATGAAATCCATCACCAGGTGAGGACCAGCCTAGGGCTGAGCACCAGGATACCCAACTATCCTGCTCCCTTTCACACTCACACACACCCTCACTCACACATTCTCACTGTTTCATTCTCCTTCATTTCCATACATTCTCCCACACCTCATTGTCTTCCAAATCCTACCTACTTTCTTGTGAATTATAGTCCTTATTCCTTGAGACCGAAAGGAAGCCTACTGTGATCATAACTGAAAAGAGATGATAAAAGTGTTTTATGTTTATCAAAGAAAAGTAAATCCATATGTTTTCTTTCAATTCACTCACTAATCAAAAAGCACCTGTTCAAGTACGTAATGGGATATGTGGATGAAGAAGACATCCAAAGTCCCCTATAAGAAAGGGCTGACCAGTAGAAGTACCTCTCTCCATGGTTGAGTAACAACATGGAAGGTTGACACATATGTTCAAGGAATAGCAGGAACCCTGTGGCTAAGATTTTGCTGCACATGAGGTGAGGTGGGGGGAAGTGAGGAAAAGGTTTGGGGAATTTTTTAGGGAGCCTTAAAAGTTAGTTGGACTCTTTGGGTGCTGAAAATTTTTAATGTACTTGGCTATTAACTGAAAGGTTAGAGAGTTGAGTCTACCCAGCGGTGCCTCAGAAGAAAGGCCTGTCAATCTATTTCTCAAAAATTAGCCACTGAAAACCCCACAGAGCACAGTTCTACTCTGACTCACATGGGTCACCAGGAGTTGGAGTGGACTCCACTGTAACTGATTATTTTATTTATTTATTTATTTTGGTGAATGTCAGCTGAGGGGTTAAGAACTAGTGTTCAGCTCTAAATTCTTTAGATCTTCTTGTACCTTCCCATCAGAATCAGCACAGAACTCTCTAAATGGCAAAGTTTTATGCTTGTTTAATTATCCTTGTTTTCTCCTCACTTCATAATAAACTAAAACCCACTGGCTTTGAGTCAATTCTGACTCATAGTGACCATACAGGACAGACTAAAACTGCTCCATAGGGTTTCCAAGGCCACAAATCATTATGAAAGCAGATTACCTCATCTTTGTCCCATGGAGTAGCTGTTGGTTTTGAACCACCAACCTTCTAGATAGCAGCCCAACAGCTTAACCACTACACCACCTGACAATAGATGCATACTATTTTCTCTTCAACTTCTACCTTCCTGTTCTACACTCAAAATATTTTGGACATTTTTGAATTTTAACATTTGATTACAACTATGTGTGAATGATTATTAAGGTCATGGCAGACTATTTTTAATTGTGCCAAGGATCTTGAGCTCAGTGCCCTCCAAGGATGGGATGAGCAGCATACCGTTTACATGTTCAGTAAGCCTAGTTCAGGGCAGCATCTGTGCCTCATCCCAGCTTAAGTTTTGTTTGAAATTCCTGGCTGAAGATTTATTGTATGGGTCAAGTCTTATGCTACAGTAAAATTCAAAAAATGCAATGGTATCCTCCACTAGTATTGAAACAGAGTTGCTTTAGGGTAATCATAGATAGTCTACTGGGTGCCTCACTGATCACAGACATGTACTTGGAGGGAATTATTGATGATTCCAGGAATGTAACCACTATTCTGGACATTGAATTTTTGGGAAAGTACATTCATTTTTACTTTAAAACAACTGGTTAATAAGTTAGCTTGGAAACCTCGCCTGGCTCCCTGCTCAGCCTCTGAGAACTAGCCTATCCTCACCTCTTGCCTTGGCTAGGCACCCAGCACCGGCCACTTTCCTTTCTCCCTCTGCCTTAGGCAGGTGACAGCAGGAAGATGTCTTGGGATCTGCAGGATGTGGTCCACACTGAGGTGAAGCCTCTGGTGGAGAAAGGGGAGACCATCACTGGCCTCCTTCAAGAGTTTGATGTTCAGGGTTGTTTCGTAAGTACCAGTTGTATGTAAGCCAAATGTTCGTAACCTGGGATGGGCTGCACTCAACTCTGCTGTTGGAGCACTGACACAACTACCAGTAGAACAGGACATTGAAATGTTACATGACTCTGGCCCATCATCCTCACATACCATGACATTGGCATGAACCACAAAACCTGCTACAATCCACTCTTCAACTCCAAGGACATGCAGGAGATCACCCAGCACTTTGCTGTGTGTCACATGGATGCCCCCGGCCAGCAGGACTGCGCTGCCTCCTTCCCCGTGGGGTACATGAACCCCTCCATGGACCAGATGGCTTAAATGCTTCCTGGAATCCTCCACCAATTTGGGCTGAAAAGTGTCATTGGTACGGGCACTGGTGTGGGTGCCTACATCCTAACTGGATTTGCTCTGAACAACCCGGAGATGGTGGAGGACCATGTGCTCATCAATGTGAACCCTTGTGCAGAAGGCTGGATGGACTGTGCCACCTCCGAGATCTCAGGATGGACCCACACCATGCCAGACATGGTGGTGTCCCACCTCTTTGGGAAGGAAGAAATGAAGAACACTGTGGAGGTGATCCACATCTACCACCATCATGTTGTGAACGACATGAACCCCACCAACCTGTGCCTGTTCATGAACACATACAACAACCAGTGGGACCTGGAGATCGAGTGGCCCATGCCAGGAACCCACACCGTCACCCTGCAGTGCCCTGCTTTGTTGGTGGTTGGGGATAATTCTCCTGCTGTGGATGCTGTGGTGGAGTGTAAATCTAAATTGGACCCAACGAAGACAACCCTCTTCAAAATGGCTGACTGTGGTGGCCTCCTGCAGATCTCACAGCCAGCCAAGCTTGCGGAGGCCTTCAGGTACTTTGTACAGAGCATGGCATACATGCCGTCCTCCAGCAAGACTCTCCTGATGTGGTCTCGCCCAGCCTCTGGATCCAGCGTCACCTCCCTGGAGGGTGCCCGGAGCCGCTCCCACACCAGCAAGGGCACCTGCAGCCACTCCCACACCAGTGAAGGTGCCTGTCTCGACATCACTCCCAGCTCTGGTGCCACTGGGGACGGTACTGGGCCCAAGTCCATGGAGGTGTCCTGCTAGGTGGCCTTGTGGCCTCCGCACCTGGACTTGGATCTGTAACGGGCCCCTCCCCTCCAACCGTTCCTGCCCCTGCCCCTGCCTGCCATACCACACATAACTTGGCATTAACCCAAAGCTTATTTTCTAAGAGTGAGCTCTGGTGATGACAAGGTTAGTGGGTTTGGGGTGAGTCTGTCTGATGTGGGCAGGGGCTGAGGTGGACCAAAGGAAAAGAAGCATCTCTTTTTTTTATTGTTTTTATTAACCAGTGGCCTGGTGGCCACTCTCTCCCTCAGAGACCCTGAACTGCCAAAAACAAGAAATGGGGCCAGGAGTTCCGGCAAGGTGGCGGACTAGGCAGAAGGACTGCACAGACCCTCTTCAACAAAGAAAAGGGAAATCAATTAACACAGACACAGAAGATAATCTTGGATCCCTGAGCCTTGAAGGGAAGGATACAAAAGTGGACTAAACC